CTCTCCTCTCCTCTCCTCTCCTCTCCTCTCCTCTCCTCTCTTCTCTTTCTCTTCTTATTCTCTTCTTATTCTCTTCATTGTGAAGTTCCTTAAAATATAGGGAGGATGAAAGACATCATCTACTTAACTTAAATTACTGAAAGTACAATCACAAAGAGACGCCAGTGGCATCATTGTGGGTATAGGTAATGCCATAAGTGCAATAGTGGTGGAGCTCATCTTTTTTGTATGAGGAAAACAATGTGATATTTGTCCAGTCTGCACAGCAGTGCCAGCCACTGAAGGGCTCTTAGTTCTTTTGTTCGCGCTCCTCTGTTTCTTGGGAGTAAATCCCTGTCTTTCATATTAGGCCTAATTTAGAATACATAGCTCATATTCTGTGGTACTGATAGTCAGTTAAAATATTCATTTTTCCATCTTACAATCCTACTAACATTCAGTTTAGGTAACCTTGCTCTCTTCCCATCTTTGTCTCTTTCCCTTTCTCCTTTCCTGTCCCTTCTTAGATGCTCAAGTGCAAAAGGGAAAACATTTCTCCTTTTGTTTTGCTTTTCGTTTGTTTTGCTAGCCCTCTGCCAGCGAAAACGGAGCCCATTTTCGGCCTGGATGGCTTCCTGAAGCTCTCTGTCAGCCCTGTTTTCAGCCTGGATGGCTTCCTGCAGCCCTCTGCCAGCAAAAATGGAACCTGGGAGCCCCCCTGGGCTCTGTTTTACTGGCAGAGGGCTGCAGAAGGCCATCCAGGCCAAAAACGGAGCTGGCAGTTCCATTTTTGCTGGCAAAGGCACCATGGGCCAGTCCTTCACCATTTCCATGGCTGCCCCGCGGACCAGAATTGGATCCAGCCCGCGGGCTTTGAGTTTGACACCCCTGGCTTAGGACGTGGGTGCCCAAAGGATTAAATAAATGGCCCAATTCTTGCAAGATTTTGACCATTTTACTTTTACACGGCTCCTTTGGCGTTCTGTGGATGTGCCCTGGTTATTGCGCTCCTAGGAATTGAACTGATGTTTTTACAACAGCTTGTGCTCACATACCGAGACAACATTTGTACTAACTGAGCATGCTTTGCAAATTTTCATATTTCCCTAAATCTACAGTTTATAGATAGTCTTTGGACTTATAGCTAGTTGTTTAGCGGCTAATCAGAGTTACAACAGATTCCCCCCCCCCCCCCCCCAAAAAAAAAAAGATATCATGACCCAGTTCCAGAATTCTGACAGCCATCAATACCCCCTGTGATCACATGACTTTATTTTGGACACTAAGCAACTGGCCCTGCCTTTATAACCATTTGCAACATCCTGCAGTCACATAATCATGATTTATGAAGGTTTTACCCTAAAAAACCCCGTATTCTGTTTTTTGGCAAAAAACAATGCCCCATAGCAAATAATGGATACACTTAATGACTGCTGCAAAAAAGGTCATAAAACTGGGTCAGTTATGTGATGACCTGGTTTATGACTGTTACAGCTATAATGGGCACTCTCCATTATCATCGTAAGTCAAGGACTGCCCATAAAGTCCCGTGATGACTTGCTTTACAAATAAATCAATTTACAGTAAAAATTCTGGTCCCAAACTGCACTCATAAATCAAGGATTATCTGTAAAAGATTTTGTCCTTCATTCTATCCCAAAGGTGCTTTTCAAAAGGCAGCTGGACTTCCTTGGTTTTTTCCCTTGAAAACATTCACTTGTCATCTAAGAAGCTTCTTCTCAAGAAGAATTGAAGAAGCTTCTTGGATGAGAAGGGAACGTTTTCGAGGAAAAAAACCAAGAAAGTCCAGCTGCCTTTTTGAAAAGCATGTTTGGGACAATGATAACCTTGAGAATCTCCATAGACATTTCAGTCCTTCATTCTACCTTTAACAGAAGCTGGAGTCCTCATTTTAATTCTAGCTACTCGATGGACTTTAGCTTCTACCCATCCTGTAAGCGCAGACACGAATGTCATGCTGTGGATCCCATTGATTAAAACAGGGTCATCTGATAGGACTTGGGAGGTGGACATTCCTTTGTTTGAGTGCCTGTCCTCTGGGAAAGCATCCCTCCCCCTTGCAGAGATCCCTATGGTCCCTACCCTGGGCTCATTGAAATGGTCTTGGAGGCATGGTGGTCTTGCTAGGTAGGTGGCTGGCCTTTTATGGACTATGTATATTAGGATGAATGTTTTATTGCCCTTCCAGATGTTCTTTTTGGTTTTTCTTCCACAGTGTTTTCATTGTTGTAAGCTGCCTGGCATTGTTATGGAGTTATGGTGTTGGGGGCATTGGAGGGTTTATAAATCTAATAAAATTAAATTGTGGTCTTATTACTAGTATTACTGCAGAACCTCTCTGAGTATCAGTGTAAGGATTTTACACAGAGAATAATGTTTTTTTGTTGTGATGTAATGCTTTCCCTGATGGTTTTTAGGATAATCTTGCCTGCTTTTTTTTTTAAATATTTACAGAGGTCTGGAATTATTTCCAGAGAATTTTGGTGAAGAGATACGCCATTGAACGGAACGGAGTCAATGTGATTAACGGACCAATCTTTGACTATGACTTTGATGGTTTGCATGACACCCCAGACAAAATCAAACTGTAAGGAACCACTAGTATTTAAACAAGTGTACATAAAATAAAAATGAACAATCACTAAAGAGAAAGGAAAATAAATATATAAACAACAAATACAGAAGGACAAGAAGCGATGGATGGAAACTAATCAAGGAGAGAAGCAGCCTAGAACTAAGGAGAATTTGAAATGTCTTTGAATATTAATTGAATTGAATTGAATTCTTTATTGTCATTGTATGTATATACACAGTATATATACAATGAAATTCACATAACACCCAGACTCAACATGCACACATGCATGACAATCCCCAAACACGTCCCCACCCACCAAAATTCCCCACCTCCTAAAAACACACAAGCATCCACACAACAGACCAAGTAATACTATCCAACAGCTCGCTGATGGTGGTCCTTAAGTTAATTGTTAATTGCAATTATAGCTCTGGGATAAAAACTATTCAGAAAACGTGTGGTCCGAGTTTTAATTGTTCTCTATCTTCTGCCAGAAGGCAACAGTTCACAAAGATTGTGAGCAGGATGGGAAGAGTCTCTGAGAATGTTGTGCAACTTCCTTAAACAGCGAGATGCGAAGATGTTATCCAGGGCTGGTAGCTGTAGCCCCATGATATTCTGGGCAGTTTTAATGATTCTCTCTGGAGCTTTTTTGTCCGCTACAGAGCTGCTCCCGTACCATACAAGAATGTTGTATGTCAGGACACTCTCAGTGATTCTGTGGTAGTAGGACAGAAGTAGATGCTGAGATAGATTTATCTTCCTGATCATTCTCAGGAAGTACAGCCTCTTCTGTGCCTTCTTCACAAGCATATTAGCATAAAAGGTCTTCCGAGATATAAGTGCCCAGAAATTTAAAACTACCAACCCTCTCCACCTCTTCACCATTTATGTACAATGGTAAATGTACATCTCTCTTCCTCCTGAAGTCAATTATAAGTTCTTTAGGTTTTTTGGGGGTGTTAAGTGTTAAATTATTTTCTTTACACCACAGTGTCAGCCCTTGTACTTCCTTTCTATAAGCAGACTCATCATTCGTATTAATTTATTAGTAGCTCAGGTTGGTAGTTATATTGTTGGTTTGAGTTCCGAGCATGGCGATTTGGTTGCAAATCCAAAGTGCACTGATGATGTCTCCTTGACTGGGAACGAAACATTTGCAAACAAATTGCCAAGCTCGGAGCTCAAACCAACAACATGAGGAGAATTTTCTTGTCAGTTAGAACAATTAATCAGTGGAAGGGCTTGCCTTCAGAAATTGTGGCTTGAGCCAACACTGGAAGTTGTCAAGAAGATATTGGACAAATTCCTGCCTGAGCAAGCAGTTGGACTAAAAGATGTCCAAAGTCCCTTCCAACTCTTGTTACTCTGTTAGAAAGAGAGAAATAAAGAACCTGTAATTAGAACTAAATCTCAAGTTCACCTGATTATTTATTTATTTATTAAGAAAATTTATATAGCCATCCAACTCACACTTGGGTGATTTTGGATGACTTACAATTGTTTTTTTAAAAATCCACCATATAGCAAATATTAAAAAAATCCAGCCTCACTTCCCATGGAAGCAACCATGCAGTCAAATCAGACGTTTTGTAAATTTAGAGAGGAAAACAAAATTTTCAAAGTTCAGCCAGCCTGTTCAAGATTTAAGAAAGGAAGAACTAATGTGACATTTTCTGATTAAGAGAACATATACTTTTCTCAAAATTGGCTAAATCAGGCATGTCTGAAATCCAGTGTTTTATATCTGGAATTACTGGCATTGGAAACAAATTTTAACACAACCCAGATCACTCATCTATCTGGCCCGACATTGTCAGTACTAACTGGCAACTCCTTTCCATGCGTTGTAATCCATGCTACAGAAGGTTTGGCTTGGAGATTGCAATTTTTTTGTATCTGTTCCTAACCCCTGTGATTTATCCAGCAACGTTATTTGGCTAAATTCACTTAAATCCTCAAACCAAGCTTTTTGTTAAGATAGATAAATGAATCCAAAATCACTCTGCTTGATTTACCTGCAGCTATAGAAAGAATATTTAAGTATTTTCTTACAATAGATGGCTGTTAATGTTTTACTTTTTTCTCCTTGTAAAAAATATTTTTTAAAAAAAAATCTTGATAGAAATTGAAGAGTATTGATGGGGCTATCTTGTCCCTTTCGTTATGATCTGCTAGATAAGGATTTCTTTTGTCCAAAGACAGTTGAAATAATTGGTTTCAGGGGTGTCCAAATTTGACAGTTTTAAAACTTGTGGACTTTAACTCCCAGAATTCCCTAGGCAGCAATGCATTGCTATCTGGAGAATTCTGAGAGACAAAGTCCACAAGTCTTAAAGTTGCCAAGTTTGAACACCCCTGAATGATTTAAAACTAATAAATCAGTGGTAGATTCATTTTCTCAGAACCTGTGCTGCCTTATCTCTCTTAAGACACATTTGTAAAAAGATGAAAAAAAAATCGTATCTTCTAGGTATGTGGAAGGAAGTTCGATCCCGGTTCCAACTCATTACTACAGCATCATCACAAGTTGTTTAGACTTCACTCAGCCTGCTGACAAGTGTGATGGACCTCTTTCAGTTTTGGCGTATATTTTCCCGCATCGGCCCGACAATGATGAAAGCTGCAATGTAAGTTCCAGCTTAGTCCTCTTGACTTGTGCTTGGCACCAAAGTGCCAGCATCTGATCCAATGTCTTCAGAAAGTTTTTTGAACCATGTTAAGCAGTTGCAGAATTAAAACCAGTCCCAAAGATGTATGGAACAGACCAAGGAGGCAGGATGTCAAAATGGTGGCTACATAAGAGAACCTATTCAAAAAGGATTGGTTGAGGTTCTCCTGATTTTTTTTTGACAGCCTACTGAAGGCCAAATCTGGTCTTAGGTTCTGCCTTAGTAAACACTCTCCAAGTACGGGAAGTTCAGAAGAACCCTATCTAACAAAATGAAATTCAGCGGTGGGAAAAATAAGGTTGTACAGTAAAGCAAGAAAAACCAAATGTACAGAATAGGTGGTACCTGGCTTAATAGTAGTAACAGTGAGAGGGATCCTGGGAGTCCTAGTGGACAAATATGAGCCAGCAGTGTGCTGCAGCTACCAATATAGCCAATGCAATCCTAGGCTGCATAAACAGAGGGATGGAATCAAGATCACGGGAAGTGTTAATACCACTTCATAATGCCTGGGTAAGGCCACACTTGGAAAACTGCATCCAGTTTTGGTTGCCACAATGTAAAAAAGATGTTGGGACTCTAGAAGGAGTACAGAGAAGAGCAACAAAAATGATTAAGGGACTGGAAGCTTAAACATACAAAGAACAGTTGCATAACAATGGAGTGGTCTCAATCAGTGGTGGTATTCTACTGGTTCAGCCTGGTTCTGGCATACCGGTAGCGCTGACGATCAGCTAGCAGAGAACCAGTTCGCTCCAAGTCTCTACAATGCTCTGCAGTTGGGCCCACCCCTGCTTTTAGGTCCATTTTAATCTCTCAGCTGTTTGGCGCAGCAGAGCGCTGTTTGGCGCAGCAAGTAACTTAGTTTTTACTGTTTTAACGCATGTGCGATCGCGCGAGTCACGTGATCCCACCTCTGCAGCCACGCCCACCAAGCCACGCCCACAGAACCAGTGGTGGGAATTTTTGAATCCCACCACTGGTCTCAGTTGTAGTTGTAAATCAAGAACTACCTGTAGTGTATGAATTAGTAAACCAGTGACTATTGTTAAGTATGAAATATAATGTAGATTTTTTTTTCTTTATTAGTTTGTATTTTTAAACTGTTTGGGGTTGTCTCTTTTTAATTTTTTCAAACTTTTTAAAAGTTTAAACATGTTGTTATTCATTGTGTCCGTTAAGAATATACTCTGTGTGTGTGTGTGTGTGTGTGTGTGTGTGTGTGTATTTTCAGGTATTTTCCCACATCATTATAGTTGTGCTTTTAAAGTTGTAGCAACGTTTTGGCAGAATCCCATCTGCCATCATCAGGCTTCTGTATTGTGTTCATCTGTAAGTGAGACTCTGTGAGACTCACAGACGAACACAATACAGAAGCCTGATGATGGCAGATGGGATTCTGCCAAAACGTTGCTACAACTTTAACAGCACAGCTATAATGACGTGGGAAAATACCCGAACAAAGCTGAATACCATACATGTAAGTACCCGCAAAAACTTAAGAAATATATATATATATATATATATTAAAAGGTTCTTTTTTTTCCTTCCAGAATTCTTCTGAAGATGAATCCCGGTGGGTTGAAGAGCTCTTGAAAATGCACACGGCGAGAGTACGGGATATTGAACAACTTACCGGCTTAGACTTTTATCGGAAGACAAGTCGAAGCTACCCAGAGATCCTTTCTTTAAAAACATACCTGCATACATTTGAAAGTGAAATTTAACTTTCTCTTAAAATTCAGCCCACCCATCCTCTCATGAAGTGCTGTATATTTTTATATTATATTTATTAATTTGAAACAGGACATTAAAATTATTAGTGTATTTTTAATCTTGCAACAAATCTTTAAAAATATTAAATCGGTGTCTGTTGTGTTTTGAATCTTTAATGTAAAACATATGTTTTTGGTCTTTTTTTTTTTTTAAATGCTGCTGACGTGTGCAGCTTCTTAAAAAGAGTCTCTTGGTTCAAAGCTTCTTAAAATGGTACAGAAGAATCACTTACTTCGATTGAGGAAATGTAACTTTTACTGCATTCCCTTTTGCCGTGCTCTTTTTTTTTTTTTAGTCCTGTATTGTGTATTATACATGTAAAATGACAATGATTGTTAACTATGTGATAGACATATTTAAGCTTCATAGAGAATAGAAACTTAAATATAATAAAACCACACATTTAGGGTTTTTTTATTTGGTGTTCCTTTCGCAATGGCATACTGCTTTTCCTCCCTTGTTTTCAGGTTGATCCTTTCGTACACAAGCATGGTATAATTTATTGAATGAGCCTCAAATTATACTGATTTTTAAACCCAAGAGGCTGAATATAGGTAGTCACCAACTTACAACCGTAATTGAACCATGACAGTTGTAAGTCATGGTGGTTGTTGAGGAGTCACCACATGACCATACTCAATTTTATGACTTCTTTTTCCGGTGGTCATTAAAAGAACCCATTATACCCAATAGTGTGGGGTTTTTTTTGGGGGGGGGGCCTGGAACTGGGAAGGAAATACCAGTTGCTAGCAAGAAATGGCAAAAATTGCCATCACGTGACCACAGGGCCCTGCAAGCAGCCATGAATGCAGACAGATTGCCAAGTGCACCAAAAAATGTAATCCTGTGAAGGGAGGCAGCCATCGTAACTTCAAAACCATGTTCTAAGTAGCTCTGGAGAGGTCCATTTCAACTGTGAAAGATTGCAAGTTCAATACTACTTGTACTATATGAAGAAGTGCTCTATTTTGACAGCTTCTGACCTCTACCCAGGGGTGGGATGCTACAGGTTCGGCCCAGTTCTATAGAACCGGTAGTTCGGAAGAACAGCTGACACCAAACTGATTCGCCCACCTGCCCGGGCTCTTGGCTGTCCTTTATTTCTTGCTTTTTCAACCTCAGCTGCTTTGTGTGGCATAGCTGAGGTTGAAAAAGCAGGAAAGAAGAGAATTTTCAAACGCTGCGCACCCGCCCCTCCCCGCCCGGTCCACTCACTCCTTACCTGGCAAACTTGCCTGCTAAGTTGCTATTTTTCCTTTTTTTTTTCTTCCCGACCATCAGCTGTTCTGCTGTGCTGGGAGATTTAGATTAGCTAGAAAGCAGGACATTGTTGGATTTCTTGCTTTCTAGCTAATCTAAAAGCAGAAGCCGAACCTTCCTTAGGAATGAAGCTTCTATATTTCAGGGTAGACAAAGGTAGTAGATTGCAGAATCATAGAACTCTAAGTGATTCTGTGATTCTGTGAGCAACTCAATCTGCCTTCCTGCTTTGCCTGATTTTGGGTAAAAGTTGCTCTCTTTTTTAAATAAAAAATTCAATATTTACATAAATATTTACACACAAGCCACGCCCAGGCAGTCACGTGACCACCAACCCACACCCAGTCAGCAAGCCATGCCCATCTAGTCACATGACCACCAAGCCACACCCACAAATTAGGACACACCCACAGAACCGGTTGTTCAGACATTTGAATCCCACCCCTGCCTCCACCCACCCCATTTGTGTCGTGAGCACCATTTCTTTAAGGTGATTCCGGACTGAAAGATGATACCACTGTTGTCCGGGAAATGCCTGTGAGGGCTCCTTCATTTCTGATTTTGCTCAGTGAAATGCATGGAGCCTAAGGATGAAGGCCTCAATCTTTTGGAATGCTGCTGTCACTCAGAAAATCTTTTTTTTCTCTAACCAGGCAGTTTGACCTGGTAGGATTTGGCCTGTTTTGCATCGTTCTGCCAGTTGTGGTTCTTGGCACCACCAACCCCCCGACTTTTAAATAAACCCCGTGTTTCCAGATGTTTGCTCACTCCTGTTTTGTCACACTGCATGGACTAAGCCTCGAATGGGCATGGTGACTTAGAGCAATTCAAGAATGCTCCCTCGTGTGCAATGCTCTAGCTGGAGCTTTTTATTAAAAAGTCTTAACATTTTCAAAGAACTCTGGTGACCTGAAGTTGTATGAACATTTATTTCATAAAGCAAGAGTTTCAAGAAAGATCTTAGACTGATGAGTTCCTAAGAGGGGAACTGCAAGAGTCTAACCCTTCTTAAGGGTCCTGCAGTGATGGCTTTCTGGACAAAAAAGCAGAGTCCTGAAAACTTTCCTGCTGAAGGCTCAGACTGATTTTAGAATAGAATAGAATAGAATAGAATAGAATAGAATAGAATAGAATAGAATAGAATAGAATAGAACAATAGAGTTGGAAGGGACCTTGGAGGTCTTCTAGTCCAGCCCCCTGCTTAGGCAGGAAACCCTACACCACTTCAGACAAATGGTTATCCAACATCTTTTAAAAAAACTTCCAGGGTTGGCGCATTTTTAAAAAACATATTTTAATAAGATACATCTAAGCAAAAGATCTGTGGTGAATCTTTGCCTTAGGTTGCTCCTTAAACTTCTCCTTTGTGTGAGAAATGTGTGATCTTCTGATTCCCATCTTAGTTCCAGATCAGTGGTGGGATTCAATTTTTTTTACTACCGGTTCTATGGGCGTGGCTTGGTGGGCGTGGCAGGGGAAGGATACTGTAAAATCTCCAGTCAGAGGTGGTATTTGCTGGTTCTCCGAACTGCTCAAAATTTCTGCTACCGGCTCTCCAGAACTGGTCAGAACCTGCTGAATACCACCTCTGTTCCAGGTGATGATTAATGGCAAATTCACTCCGTCTTTCTTAGTCTTTATTCCCCAACAGACATGCAAATCTTTGACCCCACTTGGTCCATGTTTTGGGATACCATTAAATGCCCTTCAGTTTGTTTTGGCTGAAATCTATTTTTATTGCAAAATTAAGTTGTTTTTGGTGGATCCTTTCCTAAACTGATGTACCTTGACTGCCCAAGTTTGCAACTGGCGAGAATGATTAATTTTGTAGGATGTCCGTGTTCCAATTGCTGTTCATTATGGGTGACTTCAAACATCATATTTAACACATGACAGTTCGTGAATTGTCTTCACGCAACATGCAGGGGCCTTTTTGTGAAGTAGATTGTTGTGAAAATTCAATCCTTTTACTTGGTCAATTAGTTGGGGGGGGGGGGTCAGTGTATTATGCAGAGCCAGAAAATGGGTTAATTCACTAAGAAAATTAAGGGCACTGCGTAAATATATTCTCTTGAGTTAGTGCCAGACTTAGTATATAAAAAAATATATTAATTCAATATTTAATGTATTAAAAAAGATTCAACATCCAGCAGAAATACAAATTCTAATCTAGCTGTGTGTATATTAATACAGAATTTTCCATAAATATGTTAGCTGCTTAAACAATCCCATGCCAGTTCTAAAAACCCTGTTAAGTTTTTTTTTTAAAGGAAAAGTTTTAATTAGCATTTCCATTGTTAGACTAAGTAGTGTTGACTAATGAATAAATAATAAAATGGTTTATGTTTGCTTTATCTTTAAGAACTAAAGAGGCATTGTGCCTGTTTTTTCCCGTTTTCTTCATAACAGCCAGTTAAGTTGGATTGTCAGAGGGTACTAATCTAGAGTTACCTAGTATATAACTATGGCTGAGAGTGGATTTAAATCAAGATTAGTTTGGCCCTTTCTACTTACCCAGTCCTGCTAATTTACACTGGCCCTTTCCACTTACCCAAATGTTGTGACTCAGAGGTTTGAACCTGCTCTGTCAGAAGACATAGGCTCGAGTGATGAGGAAGATCTGGCATTAAGGTTTGAGCCTGCCTTGTTGAATGACATAAATGGGAGTCAGGAGGAAGAAGAGGACTTGGCATTGGGGTTTGAACCTGCTTTGCTGGAAGTTTCGGAATCCTCATCCTCTCCAGGACCTTCCTCATTAGTTATGCCTCAGGTGTCGGCAGATAAGCAGGAGAACGTGCCGGAGTCCTTGGATGAAGATCAAACCGAAGAATGTTGGTTTGATGCCAGGAACAGACGTAAGCAGAAACGTCAAGCACAAACTGGAAGGAGACGTCGAATCAGGGACTGAGGAAAGAGACTGACACGCCCCTCAGGGAATATAAGGAGGCGTGTTAGGTTTGAATCCCCGTTAGAGTTAAACTTGTTAATTTGCGTCTGCAGTTTGGACAAAGTATTTCTGTTTGCCGTTTGTCTCTGATTTATAGTTCTGCTCGTTATCAGAATTTGCAGACAGCTTCTGGGAAAACTGCCAACGACGAATTCAGCCAAAGGAAAGTTAACTCTGTTGTTCCTGATATTGTCTGTTTGTGTTTTTTCCTTTGGACTTTTGGACTCTCACCTCGTGGCCACAGGTGAGACAGAACACCCAAATATTCCATGGTAATTCCTGATGGGGTGGGAGTCAGAATATAAAATGAGAGCACACTCCACTCCCTTCTAGCACTGATTATGTTACCTAGTTGGGTAATGAAACATCTCCAAGCAAACAACCAAGCTCAGAGAGCATCAGATCCTCCAGTTCAACCCTGATCTATAAATATTCTCTTCTATTCTCATTATGCTATCTGTTCTCCCCAATTTTTGAGCGTCTATACAAACACCAGTTGCAGTCCCGCATCTTTAATGCACTACATTAGTCTAGTCAGTATGCATGTTCTAAAGGCATGAATAAAATGTATTTATTTATTCAACTTGTTCTCCTACATCCACTGAAATCTCTTTCTTCAAGTCTTAGCATAGGAAATTTAGAGTTGCAGAATTACAACTTTATTTTCTAGGAAAAGTTATAATAGTCCCAGCGATGGCTTTTTGAGAACATATGGCTTCTGCTCAGAGGTGGTATTCAGCAGGTTCTGAGCAGTTCTGGAGAACTGGTAGCGGAAACTTTGAGTAGTTCGGAGAACCGGCAAATGCCACCTCTGACTGGCCCCGCCCCTATTTATTCTCTGCCTCCCGAGTCCCAGCTGATTGGCTAGGTCTTCTTTGGTTGCCCTGCACAGGAGAACGGAGCTGGAAAGCAGGTTAGTGGGGTGGGGAGGGAATGGGATTTTGCAGTAACCTTCCTCCAAGAGTGGGGAGGGAATGGAGATTTTGCACTATCCTTCCCCTGCCACACCCACCAAGCCACGTCCACCAAGCCATGCCCACAGAACTGCTAGTAAAAAAAGTTTGAATCCCACCACTGCAAGTTCTACTCCTAAAGGCAACATGGCCTGTCCCTAATCAGAGACGTCTGCAGTTACATTATCAGCTTCTTCCATTATTTTATAGGTTGCCAGTGCAAATATTCTCAATCCCCGAGGATGTAGACAGTGGACTGTCTTAAGGTTTATTAAAGGAGATGACTTGGCTGGCCACTGTTCCAGAGAGGGTAATTCTCACAAACAGGACTGGAAGTGCTCGCAGCTGCCAGCAGCACCAGCTATGCTCCACTTTGAAGACTAGCACAGATTCCACTTTTCAAAAGCCCGTCTGTCTCTTCATGGTCTTGGCACAGCCTCCAGTCGCTTGCTCACCCACTACCCTGTCTAAGCCTTGCTCTAAAAATAATGCTGATGGGTTTTCCAGAAGCAGCCTTGCCTAGATCTGAAAACAGCTTTTGATCTTCAGAAGTTAAATCTCCGGCTTTCCCTTGGCGGAACAGACATCAATTATGCACCTTTTGTACAGTGGGCCATCTGGAAAAATAATGGTACGTTGGCTGAAGTTTGGCTTGACTGGCTGGACAATGGCTTTCTTTTTCTTCTTCTCCACCTA